ACATCCCATGTCCGTGTTTGTCCGTGTTTGTCCGTGTTTGTCCGTGTTTGTCCGTGTTTGTCCGTGTTTGGTGTCTGCGTTTGTCTGTGTTTGTTTGTGTTTGTTTGTGTTTGTTTGTGTTTATTTGGGTGTGATGGTTGTGTTTGTATGTGTTTGTCTGTGTTTGTCTGCGTTTGTCGGTGGTGTTGCCTGTGTTTCTCTGTTTGCGTTTGCGCGTTTGTCTGCGTTTGACGACCGCGCGCGCGTGGTTTCTCGAATGGTTTCGCTTGCTTCTGGCGCGCGGCTGCGTTCGTCGCAGTGCGAAACTGTCGCGGGCTTGCTTCGCCTGCCCCCGCCGCGCGCCGCATGGCGTCGCATTTTGATCCAGCGCGCTTCCAGAATCGGTTCACCACGCGGGCATCAGCGCGCTTCCAGAATCGGTTCACCCCGCCCGCTACCGCGCCCTCGCCGCGCCGCCCCGCATCGCTGCCTCGCGCGCTATACCCCCCCTCCGCCTCCTTCGCCTCCGCGCCCACGCGCAGCCGCCGCCCCCCCCCCCCCCCGCCCCGCCACCGCCGCAGCCGCCCCCCCCCCCCCTCTCCCCCCCCCCCCCCCCCCCCCCACACACACCACCACCACCACCCCCCCCCACGCGCCGCCGCGCCGCGCGCGCGCGCGCACCGCCACCACCGCGCCCTCCACCCGCCGCGCCCTTCCCCCCCTCCCCCCACCCACCCCGCTCTCCGCGCCCCGCCCCCCCCCCCCCCCCCCCCCCCTCGCCCCCCCACTACCCCCCCTCGCACCGCGCGCAACACGCGCGCGAACCCATCGCGCACACCCCCAAGCACGCGCGCACGCACGGTCGCTTTTTTCTTTGTACTTCGGCCACCCGCGCGGGGCCCATCAGCACGAACGCGCCCGAGCATGCCCGTTCGGCTCGGCGCCAAAAGGACATCGCGCCACAAGCAAAAACAGGCTGCGCGACGAGTCAGAGCGACGCCGTTCGCGCGATACTTGCCGCGTCGTGCTGATTGTTTGTTGCGGTTTCCCCTCTCCATATATTTATCCCGCTCCCCCTCGCTCTCCCTCGCCATCTCGCTGGATGTCTTTCTTTCTCTCTCTCTCTCTCTCTCTCTCTCTCTCTCTCTCTCTCTCTCTCTTCCCCCTCTCTCTCTCTCTATTTCTCTCTTTTGTGTTCCTCTATTTTCCCCTCTCTCTCTCTCTCTCTCCCTCCCGATTTCTGTGTATGTATATATATATATATGTATATCTCTCTCTCCATCCGCCCCCCCTGCCCCGTCGCCGCCTCCGACCGCGGCGGGGCTGCCTCGCTGCGCGCTCGCGCGGCATCGCGCAGGGGACCGCGCAATGCCCGAGAGAAAGGCCAGCAACACGCCGCAACCGCTACCGCCCGTGGGGACCGCCAACCACTTACAACAACAAAGGAAAACCCACGGGAATTGCCAACCACTTACAGAAACCCAGAGAAACCCGCGGGAACTTCCACCAACTTATTGCGATCCAGATGTACTCGCGGGAACTACCGACTATTCCACGTGACCAAGGCCAGCTTGCGGGAACTGCCACTATCTCGCAATAACCCAGAGCAGCCCGCGGGAACTTCCAACATCCTCCATTCACGCAGATAGAGCCGATGGAACTGCCAACAACTTATAAAAACCTTTGTGGGCTCGGGCGATCTGCCGACAACCCGCTCCAACCTGGAAAATCAGCGGGAAACCACCAACAACCCGCACTAACCAAGACCAGCCCGCTGGAACTGCCGACAACTTACAGCGACCAAGACCAACCCGCGGCCGCTACCGACAACCCCCAGCAACCCAGATGAACCCGCGCGAGCCGCCAACGATTTACAACAACCCACCCCAACCCGCTAGAATTGCAAATAACTCATTGCCACGTAGATTAACGCGGGGGGTCTGCCAACAACTTTGAATAACTGCCAACAATTTTGGATAACCGAGATCAATATGGCGCAGTTGGCAGCAATTTGAAGCGACCGATACAAATGCGCGATAACTCACAATAGCTCTCGGGAAACGAGGTCGACCCGCGGAAACTGCCAGAAACTCGCGCCAACCGATGCCAATAACATGACAGCGCAAACAACTAATAGCAACTGGCAATAACAACTGGCTGCGCGCAGGACATACAAACAACTTGGCACAACCAATGACAATGCATTGTGATTGCGTACATTTTACCAACACAGAACGCACCCCACGAGTGTCGCCCAACAAGTTGTGCGATGCGAAGCCAGCTGCAGAACCTGCCAGGAAATTGCAGCAAACGGGATCGACGTTGGCAGTGAGCACGCGAACGCTTTCCATCGCAAACAGTTGCGCCCTTTGCGCTTCGTCATCGCTCGGCCACGCCCCCCCCCCCCCCCTCCACACACGCGCGCGCACGCGCGCACGCACACACACACACGCACACACACACACACACACACACACACACACACACGCACCCCTTCCCCACCCCCTCCCCAAACCCGCCCCGCGGCCCAGCCGCCGCCCCCGCCCCCGCCCGCCCCGCCCCGCGCCGCACCGCGCGCGCGCATGCACGCGCACAGCCCCCGCGTCGCCACCCGCGACAGCCCGCCCCGCCCGCCGCCGCCGCCAGGCCTTCCTTCCACGCCCACCGTCGCCCCGCCCCGCCCCACCCCGCCCGCCCGATCGCCCCGCCCTCCCCCGCAGCGCCGACATCCCGCGCCCTGCCCATGTGGATTGCCACGCAGCAAAGGCGATGTTAACACGAAAACGCAATGGCAAAAACAAGCATGGCAATTTTCTTCTCTGATCGGAAGAGGCGGCCGATTCATAGAGGAAGCTGCATCAAGGCCGAGCGCGCAGCGCATCGCGCGCGCGATACACTCCGCCTGCACCTGCGCGCTACAAGGGCAATGTTCGATCGGAGGCCGAATGCTTTCATTCGCAGATCGGCAGAGGCGGCCACCTCAACGTGGAGAGCATGCAGCGCGCGCGCGCTTCGCTGAGTGCGTGGCGTTGTATATTACACATTGCAGCGGCCGCCCCTCCCTATCTGGACATGAAAACTGACATGAGGCGTCCGCCAGTGGGGGTTCGAATTGACATCGCCCCCCTTGCGCGAGAGCTTACCTGATGCGCAGCGCAAGCGCGCTGTCTGACGCCCCGACATGGAGCACTCCACATTGGGATGGCAGCCTCTTCCGATCTGGGAATGGCGCCGAACGCAATGTGGCGAACACGCATTCTAGATTTTTCATGTTCGGATCGGAAGAAGCGGACATCTCAAGGTGAATTGTGCAAATACAGATAATCAGCGCAACGCGCGCGGTTTTTCGCTTTCAACGACGAATTTGATGTGCCGCGGGCGCAGAATTGCGCGTCGTATTGCTGCATTCCGCATTGGGATGATCGCCTCCCCCGATCAGAGAATGGAGAATTATGCGAGGTGTTCAAAATTCGGCTTTCGAGTTAACATCGCGCCTATGGCATGAACATGCGAACGGCGTGCAGCGCGCGCGCTGCGCTGCGCGCCCGAAGAGGATTATTCCACATTGCTGCGATCGCCTCTTCTGGTCTGTGAATGAAGTTTTACATTTGGTTTTCACCATTGTGTTCTCGGCTGAACATCCCTCCTGTTATGCGAACGTGCACGTGGCACGCAGCGCGCGCGCTGCGCTGCGCGCTCGGCTCTGTATCCTCCACATTCAGATGGTACCCTCTTCCAATCTGAGAATGATTTGTTTTACATTGGGTGTTCACAATTCGTTTTGCGGGTTCGCATCGTTCCCGTCCTATGGGGATGCGCACGGCGTGGAGCGCGCACGCCGCGCGCGCTGCGTTGCGCGCGAAGGTTGGCATGCGCCGCATTGGCATGATCGCCTCTTCCGATCTGAAAAGAAATTGTTGTATGTGTGTTTCGCCATTGGGCTGCCGCTCCTGTCGTGTGAAACTTCAAGTGGGGCGCAGCGCCTGCGCCGAGCGCGCGATGCGTTGCGTGTTGACGTCGGTATCGCATATATATATATATATATATATATGAAGGTGATCGCCCCTTCCGATCTCAGAATGCAGTTTTACATCTGGCGTTCACCATTCGGTCTTCGAGTTAGCATCGCTCCTGTTGTGCGCGCGCCGCGCGCTGGCGCTGCGCTGCGAGCCCGAGTAGTCTGCGCAGGGGTGGTCGCCCCGCCCCGACCAGAGAATGGCAATTTGCATTGGGTATTCAACATTGGACATTCGAGTGAGCACTGCCCCTTCTTTGGGAAATACATGCACAGCGCAGCACGCGCGGAGAAAACTGCTGCAGCTTCCTACAACAGGAGCGATGCTATTTCGAACGGCCAATGGTGTAAACCCAATGCCAAATTCCATGTTCGCATCGCAGGGCGCGGCCATCTCATTCTGGAATGTGCAAGCCAAGACGCACAACGCAGCCGTGCGCTCGTTGCGTGTCGGGCTTTGTATGGGCCACATTGGGATGCTCGCCTCTGCGGATGTGAGAATGAAGTTGCACATTTGGGTTTTCACCATTGGGTTTTCAAGTTCGTTCTCAGATCGGAAGAGGCGGCCATCTCCATGTGGCGCATGGGATGTAGCAATTCCGGCTCGAGTCAAGCATTTGTTTCGCGCATGCCTCCGAAGCCTCGGAAGCGGCCCGCGGCCGCGCCTGGCCCTGCCGCCCCTGCCGCCCGTCGGCGATGGGGTGGTCGTGGGCGCCCTGGTCATCGGCCGGGCCGCGGCCCGGAGGGGGCGAACCCGAGGAAGAAGAAGAAGAGCAAGGCGAAGGAGAAGGCGCCCGCGCCTGGCGCCAGGAGAGAGCCAGCGGAAGCTGGTCCGCGGCTGGCCGCGGGAGCTGGGGAGGACGACCTTGGAGAGGAGGTCGCCGCCCTGGCGGACGATCTGGGGGTGCAAGCTCGCCCCGCAGCCAAGGCGAGAGGAGCCCGAGGAGACCCTGGAGCCGGAGGTCCCGGAGTAGGAGGAGAGGGACAGGCAGCAGGCGCGCAGCCCATGGCGAGGCCAGCAGATGCTCCCCGGGGCCCTGGAGGCGCCATCGAGCTGATGCAGGAGAAGCTCGCGGCGCTTCGTGCCAAGCGCGGGAGCACCAGAAAAGGCAGGAAGTGGCTGTGCCGCGTCCTAGCCGAACGCGCTCTCGAGGCGACGGCCGAGCTGATCGTGGAGGCCGAGGAGAGGCAGAAACGGAGGAGGAAGAGGAAGTCCCGAAGAGGTCGGGAAGACGAGGAGGACGAGATGACCGACAGCAGCGACGAGGAGGAGCTCGGGGCGCAGGAGGACACAGCAGTGCGTCGGACGGCCAAGGATCGGCCAGGCGCACTTCTCCAGTCCACCATTGTGATGATGAAGCGCCACCTCGGCGGGTCGCATCATCAAGGCGAGACCGAGGGAGCTATCGACACGACGACCCTGGGGACGAACTACCTCAACAAGGCCCTGGGGCAGCCTGGGATCAAGGTCCCTTTCCGCTGCGAGCGGGAGCTGCGGACGTTGGCGGCCATCCTCGACGAGCTGCTCTCCGGCCGGATTGTCCAGGCGGGCGACTTGCTTGTCCAGAGGCTCCGCGCCCTCGAAGCCTCTCTCCAGGAAGACGGAGGATGGTCTACTGCGCGTCACCTAGAGGTGGTTCCAGATTCAAGGGTGACGACGGTGACGCCAAGCTTGAAGGCGATGGCGTCGAAGACCGAGCGCGACGAGCAGAAGTCCAAGGCCGTCCTGCAGTCGCAGCGGCAGCCATCGCGCGAGGCGGGGGCGAGCTGGTGGAAGCGGGGCGAGTCCGGGAGCGACGCGGAGGAGCTCCCCTCCGCCATCACCCACGAGGGCCTGGAGAAGCCGGGCAAAGGCAAAGGACCCGGGAGAGGACAGGAGAAGGGTCGAGGAAAAGGTCGAAAACGGTGGAAAATGTGAACCTGCCAGCCGGCGTCCCGATTCGCGCCAGCTTGAACGACCTGGCCCGCGGCTCGGCCATCCCACGCCCGGGCATCTACATCGGCCGCAGCCGGGGGGAGTTCGGAAAACCCCAGGGTTGGGGCAACCCCTGGAAGCTGGCAGGGGCGTCAGATCACGAGAGGGAGGACGTCACCCAGAAATGCGCGGAGTACTTGCGGAGCGAAGCGGGGCGCTGGGTCCGGTATCGTCTGCACGAGCTCCGCGGGGCGAAGCTCTACTGCCACTGCGACCTGGACCAGCCATGCCATGGCGACGTCCTTTGCTCCCTCTATTGCTCCGTAGTTTCCCAAGTTGCTGGCGAGCATGGGCAGCTTCCCTCACTGGAGGGCCTTTGCCCCGCCGAGGTGGGTTTGGCGTTGAAGTGCCACCTCTGCTTTTACGAGCATCGGCATCAAGAGGTGCTCACCGAGGTGGCGGAGAGGTGCTGCGACGTCGAGCGGGGGGCAGCGACGGTCCGCGACCTGCTGCCCTTTCCGCTCTCGCCGTTACCCACCGACGCGGAAAAGGCGCCAGCACTGGCAGCAAGCCGGGGGGAAGCCGTGACGACAGAGATGGTGGAGCAGGCAGGGCTCGAGGCATGGATGTATCTCATTAAGTGGTCCTTGAACCAGCTTAATCGAGGAGGTGGTCGGAGGAGGAGCTGCGTGGACTACAATTCCCACCCCGGGGACTTGGGCACGAGCTCATGCAACGGTACGGAAGACGAGCTGCGAGGCTCGGCGGGTGCTGGGTCAGCAGCTCAGCAGGCAGCGCTGGACCAGTTGAGGTTGTACGTGAGCGACTTCGTCAAGGGCCACGACATCCCCATAGTCGACTGGGCGGAAACCTTACGTCATGCTCGGCTGGATTATCAGGGAGAGGAGATGAAGGTCCCAGAAAAAGTCACATGGGAGCAGATCGAGCCGGCGCTACCCCCAGTAGGCCAGTCAGCGAGGGTGCGCGCCACTGGGCTTGTCCAGGGCGTGTTGAAACATTATCTTGAAAACCCTCAGCTCTGCCTGTTGCCCGAGGGGGAGTGGCCTCCAGCAGTTCCCACTGCCAAGGTATGGGTCGACAGCGAGGCCGAATGGCATCGAATTTGCCAGGGCGCAGCTCGGAGGGGAATCTTCTCTTTCATCTCCGCGCGGGACGTCTTCAAGGTGAAGGGAGTTCCAGTGTTGAACGGCTTGTTCGGCGTCCCCAAGCGCAACAAGAAGCTGCCGGGCACGGACAAGGCGATCCTGCGCCTCATCCTCAACGCCATCCCGACGAACAGCTACCAGAAGGTCCTCGAGGCTGACATCAGATGTCTACCTTATTACATGCAGTGGGCCGGCATCCAGCTGGAGGACGAGCAGGTCCTGGTGTGGTCCGAGAGCGACATGACTTCGGCGTTCTACAATTTCCAGATGGAGCCTGAATGGTTGAAGTATCAGGCGATTGGGCGCGCGGTGCCTGGTCGAATCGCCGCTGAATTCTGCCCGCACTTGGCCAACGAGGAGGTGGTCTATCCAGCCATGGCGGTGATGGCGATGGGATGGCAGTCAGCGTGCGGGATACTTCAGCATATTCATCGAAATCTATGTTTTCTGCCCCCTCCGATGGGTGCAGGATTGGATCCAAGCAGAGAGGTGCGGCGAGACGCGCCTCTGCCTGGGTCCATGGATCCAGATAGGCGCTCCTTCTTCACGGTCTACCTCGACGGCTTCAGCCAGGGCGAGCTGCAGGACTTGACAAAGCTGGCGATGCTGAAGGACCTGCCCGACGAGACGGCCGCCGTTCACGAGATGTGGGACGCTTGGGGCATCCCCCGGCAGACTGGGAAAGAGGAACATCGGGCCCTCGAGTTAGACGTGCTTGGCTGCCGGCTTTCCGGGGAATTGGGCCGATTGGTCCTTCCCCGATCCACGGTGGCGGAGCTGATGTCGTTGAGCGCCTGGTTCACGGCCCCTGGGCCGCGCACCCAGCTCGAGGCCCAGATCTTCGGGGGTCGTTGGGCGAGAGCATTCCAGACCCGCCGCGAGCTCAGCTGTGTGTTCCACGAATTTTGGGCGTGGCTGACGTCCCAACCATCAGGAAAGCGGCGGAAGGAGCTGACCCCAGAGGTCCGGGACGAGATCCGGACAGCGGTCTACCTCTTACCACTGTGCTTGATGGACTTGCGGGCGCATGTGAGCCCTCTGGTCGTGGCCAGCGATGCCTCGGAGTCGGGGATGGGCGTGTGCCGCACCTCGTCGCTGACCCCGCTGGGGTTGGAAGCCTTGGCAGTGAGACTTGCCGCGCAACCGAGGCACCAGATGGAGGTAGGCTTAATCGAGGTCCGCGCTGGCATCGGAGGACTGCGAGCTGCGCTGGCGGCCTGCGGCGTCCACCCCGAGGTGTACTGCGCGATTGAGGTGGACAGTATGACCAGCAGAGTGGTGGAGGCAGCCTGGCCCGCGGCGATCCTGGAGGGGGAGGCGCAGGCAGTCGGCAAGAGCCAGTTGCGGAAGATCGTCGAGAAAGCCCCACACGTCAAATTGTGGGTGCTTGGTGGGATCATCCCGCTCAAGCCAGGGGGCTCCAACTCGCGCCTGGCGCGGTTCGACGGCCCCGAGTCGACCCATCAGGAGATCTTGAGATTGGCCAGGGATTTGCGCAGCTTGGTCATGGACCTGGGCATCCACGTCGCTACATACGCGGAGTGCGACGCAGGCATTGACGACGATGTGTGCCGGACTATCTCGAAGCACTTCGGGGTGAGGCCCGCGGAGATCTGCCCGTCGGCGCGAATCCCGATGAAAAGGCCGAGGCTGTATTGGATCAGTTGGAAGATCAAGGCCGCAGATGGGTTCAGCGTGACCCCGGGCAGCACTAAAGACATATTGCACTTCCACCCTGTGAAACCACGCCTGCTGGACAAGGCGTGGATGGACCCGGGATGGCAACGGACGACTGCCAGTCCCCTCCCGATCTTCGTGGCGCCAGTCCAGCACGCGGATCCGCCGCAAGACCCAGCTGGACTCGATGCATGCGACAAGTGCGCCAGGGCCCGATGGGCTGACGACAATTACCGGTTTCCCCCCTTGCAGTACCAGTGGAAGTACGGCATGGTAAGGAGCAAGCCAGGGGAGCCGCAGTGGCGATACCCAAATGCCCGGGAGAGAGAGAAGCTCCTGGGGTACCCGCCGGGCTACACGGAACCGGCGCTTCGGACTGCAGCGGGCCACGCTGAGCGCGAGGATGCGCGGCTCGGGCTGCTCGGAAACGCCCTCCACACGGGAGTGGCGGCGTTTCTCTTGGCCAGGCTGTTCGAGGCCAGTGGCATACCGTCGAAGGACCCTGCCGCGAACTTCCTCGTCATAGGCGAAGAGCGTCCGCACCCGCAGGTGGACAACCCTGGCGTGGAAATGGTGCGTGAACTGGTGCGGCGGCAGGCCCACACGGGACGTGAGCTACGAAGACACGGCCCGATGGACCACCCGGGACTCCTCCCGAGGCAGACGTTGCAGGAGTCTTGGTGGAAGTGGCGGCGTGTATTTGGCGTTCCTTGGAGCATACCTGGGGAACACATCAATGTTCTTGAACTTCGGGCCATTTTGGCGGCCCTGCAATGGCGACTTCGAGCCAAAGTTAACGTCCACAGTCGTGGTCTGCACGGAGCAGACAGCTTTGTGGCGCTGGGGGCACTCGCTAAAGGCCGCAGCGCTTCGAAAAGGCTCGCTCCCGTGATCACGCGCATTAACGCCCTTCTTCTCGCCTCATCTTTTTGGCCGCTATGGGGGTATTTCCGCACGGACCTCAATCCAGCGGATGCCCCGTCACGCGAGCAATGACCAGGAGGACCAGGCAAGACCGCAGGCGAGAGAGGGCAAGATTAGGACGTTTGCGAGACCGGATCGTCACACCAAGGACATTGGAAAAGTACAAAGCCGCCACAAGATCTTTCTTTGCATTTTGCACTCACCAGGGGTATCCGCTACCATCCACACCATCTGCTATGGATAGACGTCTTTGCGAATTCATCGAAACAGCGTGGCAGGAGGGAGACCCCAAAGCTCTTGCAGACAATGCCCGCTCGGGGTTGTCGTTGCTTCTCCCCGCGGTGGCGGGGCGCCTTCATGGGAGTCAAAGACTATTGAAGGCCTGGGGCAAGAGCGAGCAGCCCAAACGGGCCACTCCCCTCCCCGTATCCTTTCTCATGGCACTCGTGGGAGCCGCCGTTCAAGACGGCAATCTCCGATTGGCTTTGGTACTGTTGATTGCTTTCCACGGCTTATTACGAGCTGGAGAGATGCTGACCATGCAAGCTTCCCACTTCGTCTTGCCTGACGGGCCGGGCCCAGCGTTGCTCAGTCTACCGTCCACTAAATCAGGACAGCGGCGGGCTACATCGCAAGAGTCCGTGGTCTTGACAGACCCCATCGTGCTGGCCTACCTGCGTGGCCTGCTCCCTCGCCTTCTACCCGGGGAGCGCATCTACCCTCACAGTGGCCATGCCTTCAGGCGCGATTTCGCCAAGCTGGTACAAGTCGCCCGCCTGCCGGACGCCAATTGGCAACCGTACTCGTTACGACGCGGTGGGGCGACTGCCCATTTTCTGGAATTCGGCAGTCTCGACCGCACGGCAGTACGCGGTCGTTGGCGATCAGTGGCGACTGCACGCTTGTACATCGACGAGGGCATTGCAGTCCAGACGTCATTAGCCCCGTCGCCGGCACAAGCGCGCCAAATCGGCCAATTATCTGACTTGGCACAACGGCCTGGCCGTCGACGCCGCCCTGGAGGCTGAATCATGCGCCACGCCGCTGGGACAGGTCAGAGATAGCTGGTGCTATTTTTCGGAGGTCACGCGAGGCTGGAACGACAGGACAGAATGTGGGACGTAACAGTTGTTGGGTGTTTGACACGTCGACTTTTGACACTTGTTCCATATACTCTGCAGTGGAGATTTGGACGCACATCACATGGAACACAATGCCAAGAACGTGGGCGTGTGATGGTGGATATTTTATTGCACGTGCGACGCTGCGTTCGAGTGCACCGTCGCAGGATCATAGTGCAGCTGTTCCGCGACCGCGGCAGCGTCTCCCTTTCCGTAGCTGCGGGGGGAGCCTCCGTTCCGCGGTTGCGGCGGTTTCACCAGGAAGGCAGCCGTGGGAAGGCTGCAGGGCGTGGGGAGTGGCTGCAGCACTGCCGGACAATTAGGGTTCCATCGCTTGGTGGCCCTTGGGAGTTCCATCGTTTGATGGCTCCGGGAGGCTCCGTCGAGCGACGGCCTCGTCCCATGCAGTTGCCTAGCGATGGCCACCCGCGCCCGGCGACAACCGAGCATTTGTCGCAGCACCTGTGGAAAAAGACATGCCCCTCACAGGAATACCAATGTGAGCATCGAGCCGCGAAGCGGGGAGAAGCGAGATGGTGTGAGTGAGGGAGCATGGGATGTAGCAATTCCGGCTCCTCCACCCTCCCCGCCGTCCAGTTCTGAGCTCTCGCTGGGGAGTGGCTGCAGCACTGCCGGACAACTAGGGTTCCATCGCTTGGTGGCCCTTGGGAGTTCCATCGTTTGATGGCTCCGGGAGGCTCCGTCGAGCGACGGCCTCGTCCCATGCAGTTGCCTAGCGATGGCCACCCGCGCCCGGCGACAACAGAGCATTTGTCGCAGCACCTGTGGAAAAATACATGCCCCTCACAGGAATACCAAAAAAAAAAAAGAAAAAAAAAGCGAAGGTAACTCGAACATCAGATGGGGACAACACAATGTAAAACTTCATTCCCAAATCTTAAGAGGCGATCGTCTCAAAGCGCATAGTGCATGGTTCCTGTATATTCCACATTGGCATGGTCGCCTGTTCCTTTCTGAGAATGACATTTTACATGAGGGTTTCACCATTTGGGTTTCCGAATAATGTGGGGGGGTGCAAGGGGGCGCGGCGTGGCGGGGGTGGGTGGACGGAGTGGTTCCTTCCAATTTGGTCTGCGATGCCATGCGCACGAAGCCGCATGAACCATGCAGCGCGCGCTGCGCGGCGCGTTCGGCATTGCAGATCCCGCATTGGGATGAACACCCCCTCGGGTCTGAAAACGAACATATACATGTGAGTTTCGCTATTGGGGTTTCGAAGTAACATCGCTCCCATGTCATGCCGTTACATGTAGAATGCGGCGCGCGCAGCGTTGAGCATTGATATCTGCATGTTCTCTATAGTCTCGCCTCTCCCCATACTGGAATGAAATGATACTTCGGTGTTTCACCAATGGGCTTTCGATTTAAGATCGCTACCGATGTGAAGCTGCATGCGCCGTGCTTCCCCCCCCTGAACCATGCGCGCCGCCTTTCGCGTTCGGCTCTGCATTATCAAACGTTTGATGACCCCCCTTCAGTTCTAGGGGTGTAATGTGTCTTGTTTCCGCAAGTGGGTTCCCAAGGTCACATCGCGTAGCGCGGGAACTCGCGCGGTTGGGTTTTCAAGTTAACGCGGGGCCGTCGCGGGTCAGAAGTGGTTTGCGCGGGCGGGCTCAGAGATTGCATGCCGCATGTATTGTTTTGGCGCGCCTGCTGTCGGCGCCGTTTCCTGTTTCGCTGCATCGAACGCGCGTGCGCTGCCTATGACAACGGCCACGGCCGAAAGCGAGCGCGTCGTTGGTCTGGAAGAAAAGCGTGGCCACGTCGGCACGCCCCTCACGCGCGTCGTGCTCCAATAAGGGGTGCGCCACCACAGGCGACAACCTTATTGTTCGTTTTTGCCGTCCTCTTTATGTTCGCCCTCTTCTTTCTGACCCTCTTCGCTCTCCTGGTCCTGTCCCGTGGCATCCCCTCGCCTCGCTCTCGGCCCTTCCCGCCCTTTTCGCGTTGCCCCCCTCGCTGCCCCCCCCTTCCTCCTCCTCCTTCCCCCCCCTCCCCCTCCTCTTTCCCTTCCCCCTCGCTTTGCTCCGTTTCCCGTGCGTCGGAGGCGTGCCTCAGCGCGCAGTGCGCTCCGAGTTTCGTCGCAGGGCAGCTGGTGATGGGGGGGCTTTTCTAGGGGCCCGAGCCAGGCCGCCCCGCGATGGCTAACTTTGGTTGCGCCTGGGAGCATGTTCCGCGGGAAGCCTCCCGAGGCGCGTGCCCGTATCCTCCGAATAGCCATTTTGGCTTCAAGGGCGCGGCATTTTGCCGCCCGCGGCCTTTGCGTTTGATCAACCATCCAGATCCGACAGTATTTGTACCATGGACGCTTATGGAGTTGCTCCAATGGCTTCGCATGGAGTTGTGTCGCTCCTCGAGGATTCTGCGCCTGCCGCCCCGCCTAGCTTGCGCAAGCGACCCCGCCTGAGTTCCGAGTGGAGCGGCCGCGCTACCGCAGCGGCGGGGTCGCCGCTGACTGACCAGTACCGCGCAGGCCACAAGAAGGGCTTCAGCACTGGCTACGAGACGGCCTACGACCTCGCCTACGCGGCTGGCCACATGGATGGCACGATGAAGGACAGGGCGTAAACCTGTACTGTTCACGCCTTCACTGTCGGCGTGGTTCAAAGTATCCTCCTCCCCCCCCACCTTCATCTCATTCCCTCCGCCCCCTCGTCCTCCACCCCCCTTCTCCTCCTCTTAGCAGCTCCCGTCGCCCTCGCCCGAGTTTTGCGCGCGGCCCATATCCCCTCGATCTCTTATTGCGCTCGCCCTGGCTTCCTCCCTTATCCCGATGCGTCGGCCCGTTCAGAGATCCGAGAGGATAGAGCCTCGACTAGTTTGTTGCCCACCCACCCCCATTTGCAGGAGCCCCCGAAGCCGCCGATAACGTTATCTTCGGACGCACGCCTTCAACACGGGCCCCCTCTGAACCGAGACCAGAGACGCACGCTCTACCAAGCCATCCATATGGAGAAGACTGACTTTGTCATGGCCTATCAGAGTTGGCTGAAGGATGCACTGCTGGAAGAAAAAAAAAATAAAAAAAAAAAAAAAAAAAAAAAAAAAAAAAAAAAAAAAAAAAAAAAAAAAAAAAAAAAAAAAAAAAAAAAAAAAAAAAAAAAAAAAAAAACCCCCCGACACGTTGCGTTTCTCATACCTGGCTTTTTTTTTTCCAAGATCCCCAACCCTCCCCCCCCCCCGCCTGCCCCTCTAAACCTCTCCCCCAGAGGAGCGCAACAGGTGGCTCGACTGGCGGGAGACGAAGCCCAAGTACGAGTGGATGCCGCCAGACATGGACCGCCCGAGGGCGCCCACAATGCCAGTTTGGGTCGGGGTGGTCATGGCCCTGGGGTCCTGACCGAAAACGCCTTCCCCACCTACCCCCTCCTGGTCTTCCTCGGGAGAGGCCTCCTGCCCCCCTCCCCCCTCTCCTTCTCCGCAGCGCCTCTCGTTCTTCTTATCACCCCCCCCCACCCCCCCCCCCCCCCCCACCGCCCCCTCCTCATCCGGCGCGCGCGGGGCCCACCGGGCGGGGGGGGGGGGGGGGGGGGGGGGGGGGAGGGGGGTCAGGGTGGGGCGGGAGAGGAGGGGGGGGAAATAGACGCGGCTGACGAGGGCAAATGAGGAGGAGGAGGGAGGGAGGAATGAGGAGGAGGAGGAGGAGGAGGAGGAGGAGGAGGAGAAGGAGGAGGAGGAGATGGAGGGAGAGAAGCAGGAGGAGGACGGGGGGGAAGTGAGAGAAGGAGATTGAGGAGGAGAAGCATATGTGGCAATGTTACGGTCCACCCAGGAAGAGATTCGCAAGGGGCGCCAGCAGGCCGAGCAGAGCAGCGGCACCAAGTACGGCATATACAAGCGGATCCAGCTGCTCGAGAGGCAGACCAGCGACATCCGCGAGCAGATCCAGGAGACAGCGGAGGGCGTCGGCGAGAATGGCGGGAAAAGAAA